GGAAATCTGAATTTTTTAAAAAAGTACTGAACCTATAAAACAGGTTTTATTCATTTTTTTAACACCTCGTGCAGTTCATGTAGCCACATCTTGCAATTATCACTTAATGGTCGAGACCAATGGCAAGAGTTCTTTATAATGATTATCTGTCACTGCTAGGTATCACTCAATTATCCATTCTCCATATATCATGGAAAGTCTCCTTGTAAAGGGCTGGCATATTTCTTGGTGACTGAAATTTCCACTTTGAAAAACGAAACTGCAGGTGTTAATTGCGCGTTTCAACATAAAATAATATAATTCATCAGCAGAATTGTTTCTGTGACCTTTTATAGCTTACATACATTTTTTTAGTTGTAAATCTTAGTTTCTTCCAAGTGATATTTTGTCCAGAGTTGAGATCTTGTTAATTGGTGGTGCACTCGTGCAGTCTGAACATGTGGAACCCATCCAAAGATACATCAATGACATTTTGTCAATAGAATTGCTTCAGCATCTACTGATTATTTTATATAAAAAAAAACTAGGTAACATATTTTGAACATTTATTTGAGGTATGATAATTGTGCGTATGTATTTTTATAACCAATTCTGAGTACAAGTGTGCAATAAGCTAAATGAGAAAAAGTGACTGACCACATTGTAGTTGCCAATGATGCAAACTTCAGAAAATATATGAAGTTGGGGGGGAGAGAGAGACAGACAGACAGACGGACAGAGAATTTCATTACTGCAAAAGAACAATTTTTCAATGAGGTTGTGTAATTGTCGGATGTCAGAGGCCTTGATATCTGCGGGATATTACGTGTAAAGGTATCATAGTCTAACTGGACCATAGGTCTGCTCTGTCGTTAGAGAGGAGGACGACTGGTGGTGATCTAACCTGAGGGTTATTGCATCTCAAACAAGGATGAGAAGGAGACTCCTTCACGGTAACATAAGACAGGGCAGGAAACAAACCCACACGGTTAGCAGCATTGTGTATTGCATGTCAGCAGTCCAGCCAACTGAACTAACCAACACCAAAATGAGTTTCACCTATAACAATGCAATAGAATAAGAAACTAACTGAATCAACAACCTTGAAAACTTCTTCCTATTTCTTTTAAAATTGAAAACAATTTCAACTTTCAAGGCGAAATGAGAAATTATTGTCTGCTTTGTATTTGATTATAGTTAACAAATGTACATTTTCAAATAACAACTGCCAGATACATCGTGAGTGAAAGCAAGAGAGAAAAGGTCACAAGTTCAGTTGATGTCAGTGAAAAGAAAATCAAAAATGGTTAAAATTTGTTGCCAACTTTTGTTCTCAAATTTGTTCCAATGACTGGATAGACTGGGACTTTGTTCACTGGAGCATAGGAGGTTGAGGGGTGATGTTATAGAGGTTTATAAAAACATGAGGGGCATAGATAAGGTGAATAGCAGGTGTCTTTTCCCTAGGTTGGTGGATTTCAAGATGGGGGGCATATTTTTAAGGTGAGAGAAGAAAGATTTTATAAAGATATGATGGGCAGTGTTTTTTACGTGTGTGGAATGAACTTCCAGAGGAAGTGGTGGATGGCGGGTACAGGTACAACGTTTAAAAGACATTTAGATAAGTACATAAATAAGAAATATTTGGAGGGATATGGGACAGGAGCAGGCTTGTGGGACTAGTTCAGTTTGGGATTATGGTCGGCATGGACAGGTTGAACCGAAAAGTCAGAAATGACTGTGACCAATTTCACCACGGAGAGTATCTTTCTTTGTCTTAATTTGAGCTCATTTTTTCAAATGCAAACACTAGAGATATTTTGAACCATAAAAGAAACAGCTTGTCCCATGTATTTTGTGGATGGCCATTAGAATACATGCAATATTTTCATTGTTGTGAGGCAGAAAGTGGGAAAGAGAAAAAAACAATGATAGTTACACGTTAGGAAAACAGCATAGCTGCATTTATGGGGCAAGTTCAGAAGTACATGAGAGAGAAATGAATCCAAGGATATAAGTTAATTAATTAAGGTGGAGGGGTATCATGTTGAGCATAAATGCTATCATAGGTTAGTTCCACTAAATTGACTTTTTCTGTGCTGTTGACTCCAAATCTAATAACCAATCATAAACAAAAAAGTCCCAGGGAATAATTTGATGTAAATAAAATTTGATTAGCTTAGTTACTGTATGTCAATGGCGTGGTTGTCCCTTATAAGGTGTCAGCAATTGCTGTACAATAAGGAATCCCTGATCTTGTGTCTGTCAAGTCACAAGAGATGTACACTTTGTATTTGATATGTATTGTCCTTGCATTTTGCGGAACTACGCTATAACATTGCCTCACGTCACAATCACACTCTAGGGTTTTCGCTGATGCTGAAAATCATATTTAAGAGGATGAGTGTTCCAGAGTCTAAAACAAAGACATCCGGTATATTACTTTTCCAAAAGAATGTGTTTATAAGACAGTATATAATGTGAAAAAAAAGTGCATTGCAATGATCTAATTGGTCCATTTAACGAAGCTGATTGTACAATAACCTATACCAGCCAGATGACAAATATGGGGATCAATGTGATGTTTTGTTGAATAAATACAGACACAAGTAAAGCTCAAAGGCCTCTCTCAGGTTCCTGCTCAATTCCTTGGCCTTATTATTACAGCAGTGATGAGGCATTGATACCTCACATGGAATGTGCCACCGAATCCACTCATAGATTGTGGTGAAGAATGAACCATGAATATGTCTTAACAGAAAAGGCGCTTCTCTTATGTGACAAGTTTTATTACATCTTGGAAACTTTTTGGTTTTTGTTTAGTAACTGGCAGATTATGTTATGCTAACAGTAACATGGGTAACGTGACTTTTATTTCATTCTCGCATGGGATATGGATGTCACTGTCTGGGCCAGCATTTGTTGCCCTCCTTAGTTGCCCTTGAGAAGGTGGTGGTGAGCTGCCTTCTTGAACCACTGCAGTCCTTTGCGCTGAGGGTAGACCCACATCAGGGAAAGAATTCCCGGATATTACTCAGCAACACTGAAGGAATGGTGATATATTTCCGTGTCAGGATGGTGAGTGCCTTGGAGAGGTACTTGTAGCTGGTGGTGTTCCTATGTATCTGTTGCCCTTGTCCTTCTGGACGAAGTGGTCGTAGGTTTGGAAGGTGCTCACAAAGGAGCCTCTGTGCATTTCTGCAGTGCATCATGTAGTTAGTACGCACTGCTGCAACTGAATATCAGTAATGGGGTGAGTGATGCCAATCAAATAGGCTGGTTCATCTTGGATGGTGTTAAACTTCTTGAATGTTGTTGGAGCTGTACTCATCCGGGCGAGTGGGCAGTATTCCATCACACTGTCCAACTATAATTGCCCCGGAACGGTCTGAGATTGCCCTTATATGCCCGACACTTATATATATAGCTGTGTTATATGTCAGACTGTGTGCTGCTTCAGTTTACCTCCCAGATTAACCTTTTCAACCTCCCAAGCTCTAGGACCTCCCTATCTAATCCCTTACCAAGCGATATCATTCCCGGAATCTGAGGGTGATCTATTCCTTTTCACTGACACCCAAACCAATTGCTTCCCTGGAATTTGAAAGGATCCTGCATTGTGTTTGTCTATCACAGCATCCTTGATGTCCTGTTGAAATCCATGGTTCAAAATTCAGGGTTCATCAGTATCACATTTGAGCACCATTCGCATTGTATCAGTAAGATGCCCAAAAATGGGAGTGTTCAAATTTTAAGGCCATTTGCTTCTCTTGGATATTGATCACCATCATTATGCATCCATGTAACGTATGGCACTGGTCTGACAATAATGCATTTACTGAATGAGAAAATACAGGCTATGCAGCATTAAGCTAGGATATCACTGTTAGTATTTAGCTTTTAGTCTGTTACTGACATGTTTGAATGATTAATCTAGCAACAGAAAGTTAACATACCTTGTACATCTCGATAAACCTGATTGAAAGCCTGAATAAAAATCATAGCTATCAAATAAACGTGAGTCAAATGTGGCTACATTCATACTATTTAGTGCAAATTGCTTTCACATTGTTAGATTTATTCTGATGGTAAGGAAAATATTTGTATGATGTGTCGATGGCCCAGTTAGCTTACTAAACTATAAGCAATGTCTTCTGCTTTCTTTTGTATGTCAATTTTAACAGAGGAACCCCTGCATAATAAAAATGGTGAAAACACGAAAATGTCTCTGAGTTAAAATAGTTTAGTGACTTTTAAACCTCTGCAAAATCATAGTTAAGTTGCAGTTATCTTTTAGAGGATTGTAGAAATGAAAGTCATTAATTGGGCATCGATCAAGTTAGCAACAAGAAATATCTTTCAGCGGTAACTCATCTCATGACCTTTACTATCTGATGAATGGCTAAAGATCTATAGTCAAAATAATATTGTCACTCTGGCCAACCTAAGCATTATCCATAATGCAGCACACTGTACTTGAAATTTATTTGCAATTAATATGATGGCATATAAATTCATCAAATGTGATCAAGTCCTTTCTTTCATAAAACATATTTCCTTTATTGTAAAATTACTGTTCTGCTAAAAGTTGGATAATTAGCGCTTTATGAATAATATTATCCGGAAGTAAAAGTTTTGTACAAAGTTTGCATCTGGATGAGTTTATTTACTGGGGACCACTTTCACTGAGAACCCACCAATAATAGATGACATAAGTATGAAACATAATCTCAGTCAATCTGAATCCCATTTTGTGGAACATGTAGAGTTTTATATTAGCTGTGCAAATTGAAATAAAAGCAATGCAACATTTCCCACTGCAAATCATATTTTTCTTCTATTGCCTCAAAACCTTTGAACTCTTTTTCAGTTTTCCATTCCTCCTATAATTCAAATGCATTTAAATCTGTTTAATGCAACCTAGCTATTCTAGATTTACCTGATCTGAATGTGTTAACCTTGGTGATGCTATGGGTTCGCTCTTTTCACTTAACTTTCTCAATTGAATTTTTTTAATGCAGTTGTATTGAGGACTACAAGCTAGCTTCGGACGGAAGGATGTGCCAGCTGGTTTCTGAATCCTGCACCAGTGGCCTAGACTGTGCTGATGCCAGCCTTCCTCTGAACCAGACTCTCTTCAGAGATCTCTTCTACGGTTACAATAACCAGACTAAGGAACCTGCACTTGGCCAAGTGTTCATGGGCACATTCCGGTAAGATTTAATGCTCTCCATGTTCTGATCTATCTTCTGCTATGGAGTCAAACACATGGCTGAAAATAAAGGGTTTGAAAAATATTATGACACTTGACATTCATGTATTTGTGAAGTTACTTTTTTTGTCCGATTGCTGGTGTTGAGTACGTATAGAGACTGATAACTGAATGCAATGCCATGACAATGTCTGCTAACTACGTCCACTAGTTTTAAAGCAGATATCTTCATATTTAATTGGGCTTTTGTTTCTGAACCCTGAAAGAGGTAGAAAAGAAAAAATGTACTTGCTAAAGGTGAAGAACAATAAAGCTATCCTTATGAACAGGCACTATTAAATAACTCCAGTGTATGACAAGTTGACCTTCACCAGGGACAAATGTTTGTAAACGCACTACTGAAGAAATGTACAAATCAAAACATGAATGTCTCACATGCCATTTGATGGTGCCATTGCAATATTGGACTAATCGTTAGGTATTTCCTTTCATACCTTGTGAATTTTTTTTTCAGAATTGTTAAACTCACAGGTTTGCTGATTATACAAACATGAAACTATACTCATAGCATATTTGCCGTTAAATAGAGAGGCGGTGGTCACTACTAATTGAAATGTTCATTATTGATTTTGCATGCTAAAATGATTTTCTGAAATATCAATGATTACATATTTGTTCATGGACATTTTGAAGTGGAATCCACATGTGAGCAGCAGGTTATCATAAGCTTTTATTTTGTTCACTCGTTGGACATGGGCACTGCATCTTGTACATGGTGCACGCTGCAGCTACTGAGCATCGGCGGTGCCATGACTGAATGGCACCATATCCACAAACAATCAAGTGGGCTGGTTCATCCTGCATGATGTCAAGCCTTTTGAGTGTTGTTGGAGCTACACCCATCCAGGCAAGTGGGGAGTATTGCATCACACTCCTGACTTGTACCTTGTAGGTGGCAGACAGGCTTTGGCAAGTCAAGAGGTGCGTTGCTTGTATCTCAATCGGTAAATTAACAACAAACTTGTGCTTCCTTGCTATTGACCTTCTCTTATACCTACTGTATTTGCACATCTATTTGTTGTCAGTGGTAACCCCTGGGGTGTTGATGGTGGGAGATTTGGTGATTGTAACACCATTGAGGGGGCTTGCAGGGTGATATTGAAACTATTGCCTATCAGCCTTCCAAAATCCAGAACTATTCTCTCCTTTCTCCTTCCTCAATGAGCAAATCAGTTTTGTGGGCAACAGGGAACTGAACAGTTTAAATAAATACACCTTACCAGCAATAATTTCTTGTTAATGTTGTGTAAATGATCCTATGAACAGAAAATCATTCATGTAGTAAATAACATTGAAGTGAGGTCTCAGAGTCATTCTATGCACGCAGTTCCATCATTGTTAACAGACCTGGCTTTGGTGGTGGATTCTATTTTCTGTAGCTTGTGTTTTAATGATTCCCAGTGATTTAAATAGCTACAATATATGGCAAAAAATGATTTCCCTCCGTTTATAACAATTCTGCTACCAAATGTATATTTGATATACCTCGAGCAGTCTTATCATCCAAATATTTTTGTTGTCTTTAACACACAATGTGTCTATACTTAGAAGTTCTGTTGCATTATCTATGCCACTTAACACTTTTGAGATTTTCCCAGGTGCAGATGTTGAAAGATGATACTTGTCTGGGATAAATGACAATAGGACACACTCCAGTGAGTCCCATTTGGGTCGGTCCATATCCTAATTGTAATTGGACAAATCCATTAGTTTGATGAGCAGAACTTTGTATTATTCAATGAGTTCCACAACTTTGATCATGCATTTTATTCTGATGCAAGCAGCTGAATGTTCCCAGCCCATGATCGATGTGGGCAATGGCGAGTCAGTTGAAAAAACAAGGCAAGAGCAGAAGAATGAGAATCTCGAGGTCATGAAAGGCCTGAGTCTGCATTCAGTGCTCTCACGGTGAGATGAGAATTTTGCTCATGAGCAGTGAGAGGTCGATCTGCACGCATTTACATCTCCTCATTGCCTAATCTCACCACCTTTGATGTGAAATATGTTATTTCTGCTGAACGGCAGATAGCGGTTTCCTGGCATCTCCGGCCTCACCGCTTGTTCCTCTGGCCCTCCATCTTGGACTGCAGTCCCCAACGTTGCAGCTACACTCCAGGGACAAGCAACATTCTGCACTACCGCACCAACAGAGCTTGGCATCACACAGGCACCAGCGTCACCACATCATCATGGCACATCTCTGACCCATGCAGTTATCCATTTCAGTGCTGCACTGTGGAGCCTATCAACACTTTTCACAGTAATACTGATGCCAAGATCTTTGCACAGGGTCAGCGCCCAACTCACTGTTTGGAACAAGGTGCAACTCAGGACTCTTCGCTTGCTCTTGGATTTCTCTCACTTTGCAGTTACTTGGATGTTCATGGAATCCCTACCTTGCCTTGCCTTGCCTTGCTTTGCCTTGTGGTACTTTGGAACTTAAGTGCTAACATTTTTACTGTCTTGCCTTGCAGTTTAGTGCAGACACAAAGCCAGGCAGCATGTTATGGTTGTCATTAATGATCAGTCAAGGGGTGGACATATTGCAATATTGGCTGTGCTATATCAGTATCATGCCTACATGATATGCCAGCAGCTTATGCAGCAAACACACTGCCGGTGCATCAACCAAATTACTATGCCTGAAAGTCAAAGGAGAATCGCCCTTAATCGGTTCAAGGGAGACTTGTCTTCTGTCAGGGGCTAACAGCACCGTCAGTCAACAGCAGCATCTGAAATCGATCCAGGGGTTTCGAACGGGTCACTTGACTGACTGGGGTGCCGGTAATGTGAACTCGGTGTCTCTACAGTCTAAGGAGTGAGCCCTGGTCATTCCTGCAAACCCGCTTTGACCATTCCAGGGATTGGCAAGCAGAATGATCAGGGAGCTGTACATGGGTCAGTCAGGGGTCTCAGTCACTCAGTCAGAGAGTCTGTCCAAGTCAGCCAGACACTTGGGCCTCAGTCAGTCCCGGAGTTGGGGGGTGCCACTGGAATTTGTTGTGCCGCGTAGGGGAGGGATGGTAGTCACTGCTGTAGTTGGGATGCTGGGGAGATCAATTGAGGATCATTTATTTGTTGTCACTTGTACTCTACAATGAGCAACGCAGTAAAATACAAATGTAAGGCTTCAACTGTCGCCACCATCAGGCACTATTGGAACATTTTAAGAATAAAAAGATAAAGCTGAAAGAAAGCCCATCTTCGTTCCACTGCTGACCAACAACATCTGCCCCATCGGACCCACCAACGTCAGATTCGCCGCTTTTCAGACGCCACCTCCTCTTCGATGGGCCCACCTCACCGACGGGCTGCAAATGCCAGGTCCCATGCTGGACCCACACTCTTCCCCCTGCCCCCTCCCTCCTGAAACCATGCAGGAGGCCCTGGCTCCTCTTTCACCACCGCCTCGACAACTCCCAGAGTCCCCATTCCGGGCTGACCACAGCCAACAGGCCGTGGCTCTGCTGCCGGGTCAGGCCCCTGTGTCGCCAAGAGACCCCGTCCGGCTGCTCTCCTCTCCGATGTCACCTTCTGTGCCGCTGCCGACGGGGAAAAAGAGAGATTGAAAAGGGTAAGGAAAGAAGGGAGGAAGTGGCCGCCCAGAATGGACGGCTCAGGAGCCCGAACGCTGTCTGCCTTGCCAGCGTCGCCATCTTGGATCAGATGTGGGGAATGTGGAACATCAGTTGTGGAGATTGTAGGTGGCATGCTGGGATATAAAGGGGAAAATAATTATCAGGTGGGGACAACTCAACATTAAAAAAGTGGGAGACAATAGAGCATGGAACAAAAAAGGGATACTGCAGAAAGGGATGTGGGGTGTGGGGACAGTCATTGATGGTTGCCACCACACCAGCTACTGTTTGTGGGGTGGGTGGGTGGGAAAGCTGTGTAAAATAATGCCTTGCATGACTAAGCTGTATGCCTGAGTGGTAGTGAGTAAAGTGGCAAGATGATCAGTTAAATAAATGCATTGAGCGGGAATGTGGGGAAGAGCAATGTGAATGGAGTTAACAGGGAGGGCAAGGAAGAAAGGAATGTGAAGGTTACAGCGATGGGCTAGACTGAGGTTGAACCTGCAACTCATTCCACGGGGGTGACTTCCATTTTCTTGACAATGAGCAATGGAAATAGAAGAGTTTGCCATTTTGGGTGAGGTATCTGCTTTTTCTTTCTCTCGAGGCGTTCACTTCTCTGCAGTGTGAGATCCTTCAAAAGTGCAATAGCATTGTACAGACACCCACAAAGTTAAGGTGAAGGGCGTCTCTCATCACTAGATGCTGTACATGGACCTCACACCTTGTGTTGACCAAAAAGCCTGCTCCTAAGCATTTGTGACAAACAAATCTCACTAACGGCTGTGAGGCACAAGCATCCTTCGTGGTCTGCTGCGGTGAAAATATGAGGAAGCCAACAGTCGCTTGCCCTCTGGGGAATGCAGTTTTGAATGAGGTACAGAGGTGCTATGCTGTCCAGCTACAGTACAATACCTCTGAGGAAGGGTCATCAGACCTGAAATGTTAACTCTGATTTCTCTTCATGGATGCTGCCAGACCTGCTGAGCTTTTCCAGCTACTTCTGTTTTTGTTCCTGATTTACAGCATCCGCAGTTCTTTTGGTGTTTACAATAAAAATGTCCTACCAGTAGGGCCAACGAAGCCCCTCTGCATCTGGTTTCCATGGAGGGCATGTCTGGGCTTTGTACTGGCACCCTCCAGACAGACAGAGATGTAGTTTGACAACTGCACCAGACAACTGAAGGATGCACTGAGACTCTGTGTGGGTTGATGGTGGCCAGGATAAACACAGCATTGTGCTGAGGAGCTGTATTCCTCAAGCATCCGACAGTGCAGCAGTGTCAGCCAAAGCAAACAAGCAGGACTTAATTATGACCCCCGTTCAATGGAACTGAGTCGCACAACGTCATCTTCAGAGGCT